CCTCAACCAGGTAAGTGGCCAAGCTGGAGGTAGAGCTGTCCCTAGGGTTTGTGGATAAAGCCTGGGTTTGGTCCACAGTCCTATGGTCAGGAGAGGTTTCCAGCCATGAGAGCCTCGTTCCTGCCCCACAACCCCCTTGTCGGGTAAGTCTAGGAATGTGGAGAGCCAGGGTATCATCCCTTTGCCCCGAAGCTGTTCCTTGGAAGGGCTACAGATCAGCCAGAGAGAGGACTGAAGTACTAGTACCTGCCACACCATGGATGAACCTCAAAAAAATGCTAAGAGACAGAAGCCAGTCACATAGGACCATATAGTATATGATTCTGTGTATATAAAATGTCCAGTATAGACAAATCCATAGAGATAGAAAGTAGATTATTGATTGCCTAGGGCTGAATGTGTGTTGGAGGGGAGGATGGGACAACAGGAGGTAAAAACTAAGGGGTGTAGGATTATTTTCGAAGGGATGAGAATGTTCTAAAATTGATAGTGGTGACGGTTGTACACCTCTGAATATACTGAAAGCCAGCGACCTGGACACTGTAACACGGGTGAATTGTATGTGACTTATATCTCTTTAAAGCCGTTAAAAAAAAGAAGTGTTGCAGAGATATCAGCATCACTGCCCGTCAACAAGTCAGATGGGTTGGTGCTTCCAACACGAAGCTGCACTCGGAAGAGAGAAATGAGTGCTAACAGTTCCTGAGCCTGTACGCTTGTGCCAGGCACGGTACCAAGTGCTTTACAGGCCATAACTCGTTTAATTTTCACAACCACCTATGAAGCGTGTACAGTTATTATGTCTCCCTTTTACAGGTGAGGAAACGGAGGCACAGAGAGGTTGTGACATGTTTATTGAGCTGGTAAGGAGTGGAGCCAGAACAGAATCTGAACCCAGGGAGTCTGGCTCCAGAGCTCTGAATTACCTATACTATGTTGCCATTCAAAATGCTAAATGCCCGGGCCGGTGTGGCTCAGCGGTTGAGCGTAGACCCATTTACCGAGAGGTCACTGATTCGATTCCCGGTCAGGGCACATGCCCAGTTGTGGGCTCGAGCCCCAGTAGGGGGCATGTAGGAGGCGGCCAATCGATGTTCTCTCTCATCGATGTTTCTATCTCTTTCTCCCTCTCCCTTCCTCTCTCTCTAAAATCAATAAAGAAAAAAATTTAAAACAAGAGACTTTCAAAATGCTAAATGGAAGTGTTAGGACTACACCGTCTGACTCCTGGTCCGCTTTTCTTGGGCAGTGAGACCTGACTATGTGCTATGTCCAAATCAGTACACTAACTGGGATACAAAATATGTCAACTGCATATTCCTCTTCTTTGGAAAATTTACTAGACTAGCAATAAACGCACAAAATATCTTTATTTATAGGATGATTCTAAATGTAAGACTCTCTGTCTCTTTCTATCTTTTGTTTCTTTTTCTCTCTCTTTCTGAAGCTACATTTTTAGATGTTTTCGAACTCTTGTTCCATATTTGATACTGATTCAAGGCCAGCAGATGAGATTGTAAATACAATTTGTACTTCTGGTTGTGAAATACCATAAAAAACTTGAAATTGGAGTTAGATTCCATTCTTCCTCTCTTATGTTTATATTTATCCCTGAAGTTATTTGTTTGATAATTCGGAGAAATCTAAACTTTTAATCTCAAATCACATCCACAGCTTCAGCTCCCATCACCAGCTCAAATCTACAAACAGGAGGAGTAAATGCCTCAGCGTTAACAGAAAAGCTTCCTTCTGCTCGTGTTCTGCATAGGTGAACGCATATTTCCAGAGCAGGGAGAGGACAGCATGTCACCATTCATTTCTCTGGTTCCCTGTGTGCTGTAGGACCCACACTTGTTCTGGCTTAGTCATTGCGTCATACAATAATTCAACAATGCTCACCAAGTTTTCTTTGCTTTTTTTTTTAATCCTCAGCCAAGGACATTTTTGCATTTATCTTCAGATAGAGCAGGAGGAAGAGAGGGAGGAAGAGAGAGAGAGAGAAACATCGACGTGAGAGAGACACATTGAGTGGTCGCCACCCACATGACCCCAACTGGGGCTGGGGACAAACTGCAACTGAGGTACGTGTCCTTAGTGGGCCGATGCTCTAACCACTGAGCAACTGTCCAGGGTGCACCAAGTTTTCTTTAAATATTTTCATTCTTGTGCAAGTTGGCAAGCATAAAAATTGTCCTTTTGAATATATATATATTTTAAAGATACTTCTTTCAACCTAGTTGAGAACAACTTTTCCATTAGATATTCCCATGACTTCTAAGTAAATACAGGTACATGTCAAATCCTGCCTGGTTGTGCCCTCCAATTCCTCAACCACCATATGTACTCATCACTTAATTTGGGATGGAGGTGTCTATTTGCCACCTCACAGATAAATTTTCTTCCTCTTCTGTTCAACTGATTTACCATCTACATCGAGAGGGGCCTATCATGCTTTTGAATATAACATGTTAACCAGAGACCCTATGGGGTCCAATCTCAGCATAGTTGCATTTAAAACGTCCTATAACTAAAAATAATTGGAAATGCAATTCAAGTCTTTATTAAAGAATATAAAAAAGATCCCATTCAAAACCACAGAGCAAAATGTCTTCAAGTCCTCTTTTTCATCTCTCTGGCTCAGTCTTCTCCACCGTCCCCGGGCCCTGTCCCACACCCGGGGGTGTTTCCTTTTTGATGCTAACATACACCTTTATCAACCCACTGCTCTTTCTACCCTTCTCGTGGGTGGCTGAAACCTCAGGTCTAAGCACAAAGTTGCTTCCTGCACCCATCTTCCTGAGGAAGAAAAGTGTATTCTCCTAAATTAAGAAATGTTAACCCTGATACTCAGGGAGCGTGGGGGGTTCGCATAGGGGTAGTTTGGGAAAGCTTTTTTGTGTCCAGGGACTGGAACAGAACCTCTTGAGATTAAGGAGATGCCATGGCGACACCAGAAGCAGCAGGAGGGCCTCAGAGGGTAGGACCAGCAGGCGTTTGTGGGTGGAACACTCCACGGGAGGCAGGGTCAGCCTGCTGGGCCCACAATCTGTGTCTTCATACAGGGCCCTGTGCCCAGGAGGGTCTCAGGGCTGTTTACTGCCCTGCTGTTGCCATCTTAAATGTCTTAATCATATTCAAACAAGAAATCCCAACTTTCATCTCGAACCAGGCCCCACAAATGACGAGGCCAGTCCTGAGCAGGGGCAGAGGTCCTCAAACACTTTACCACCCACCCCGAGTCCCTCTCTGACTACTCACTGCCCCGCATCCAGAGGTTTCAGGTGACGGGGAAACCTTGACCTGTCAGGGAATTTGTCTCTGGTGAGCCATCTCTTGGTATATCTGGAACAACCTGGAAAAGTGAGAGGAAAGAAGGGGGTTGGTTCTGAGTGATTTAGGGGCTGTTATACCCATATAGAGAGGGGTTTCCCCTCCATGGTACAGCTGTGGCTCTTTAGATCTAGCCTCCTCCACCAAGAGCTTAGCTCAGGCTTCTGTTTTAGGACCCTCAGCATCCCTGGACTCACTATTTGCTGCTTTTAGGTGCCCCTTTGCTGCTTATGATCAATGTAGCCTACTGTGCGGTGGGCTTTCCTTCTCCTGAGCTCTGTGGTGTATGAGAACCTGACCCTGGACAGAACGAAATGTTGTTTCCCAGCTGGGGGCTCCACAAAGGCTGGATTTTGCAGAGTGGTGCTAGTGCTGTGCCCAGAGGATGGGGTGGAAAGGGTCCCCTGGGTTCAGACAGAACTGGTTCTCAGAGCTGCCCCATGTCTGTGCAAGTGGTGCATGGTGCACCTTGCACACTCGGGGTGTCAGCCGGCGCAGCCAGGAAGGGTGACCTAGGACAGCAGTCACTTGAGCTGCGTGATGGTGGGCAAGGGTTGAACCTCTCTAGGCCTCACTGTCCTGGTCTGTAAGAGGGAGAATGTGTTAAAACCACTTAGGGAGTTAACCAGAAATGGAATGAAAGAACACAACTGGTGGCCACTCAGATGTTAAATGTCTACCTGTATTAACGAGTGCATGCTCGTTGGAAAACGCTCTCTGCCGCCGCCCTCCCAGGGCACCGGTCCTGTGCTCGGGAGCCATGCTTTGCAGTTTCACAATGCCTCCCCCCTGGACTTTGCATTTAATCAGCTCCTCTTTGGGGAGGCAAGTAGGCAAATGCACCTTTTGAATTCAATATGAAAAGACTTGGAGAAGAGAAAGAGAGGGAACGAGAGGAGGGTCCCAACTGTGGATCATGCAGCTGTCTTCCTGGTCATCTGGGCTCTGGCTGTCCTGTGATGCTCTACATCTGGGGTTCTCAACCAGGGCTGCCTTCCCCGGGGACATGGGCAATGTCCGCAGACATTTTTGGATTGTCACCACTTGGGGGAGGGGTGCTGCTGGCATTAGCGGGTTGAAGCCAGGGATTTGGCTAGACCACCTACAGTGCACAGGACAGACCCACAACCAAGTGTCTGGTCCAGGTGTCAGCAGCGGTGCGGGTAAGAAAGCCTGTCCCAGTGGCACCAAGATAGAAATCAAGAGAGGAGGCGAAACAGATCCAAAAGAAGAGGTTTACTGAAGACGAAGTGGAGGGAAGGAGAAAAGTAGGAGCTTGATGAACCCAGGGAGTGCACACTCATGAAACTTCCCCAAATTGCTTCCTGGACTGGCTCATACAGGGCTGGGTTCCCCCGGGCGCAGAGGGAGCGCTTTGCTTCCCGGGTTCCCGCCGCGGACTGGTACCGATGGGTGCAGGTGCAGAGCTGAGCTCTTCGGGAAGTGCCTGAAGAGAAACTTCTCTAGGAGAGGCTTAAAACATAACCGAAGAGCACTCCCACCCACGCAGGAGATGTCTCACGAGGACTTCCAGCCTGCCCACCGGGGTGAGCGCCCACCCCAGCCTGTACGAGCCGTGGGGGCAGCACTGTGCTCCTTCTCCATTCCGCAGACTCCCGGGAAAGCCAAGCCCCAGGACACACGGTGATGCTGGCGGTTTTCTTTTTCAGATCCACGTGGCATCAGAGGATGACAGACTCGGGAGGGCCCCAGAGGCGCACGCTGTGTTTTTTATCCACGTTGCTTTCCCAGAAGGTTCCCGAGAAGTCAGACACGGTGCTTCGCTGCATGATATCTGGTAACCATCACTGCCTAGTCACCCTCTGGCATCTCCCTGCCGGTCAGGTGTTTTGGCTCACAAAGGCGTGGCAAACATCACTGGGGAACATTACCTGGGAAGTTGATTCTAAGTAGCCAGTTGAGCAACTAAATTTTCTAGGATTTTTTTTTTTTCCTAAAAGATTTCCTGGAGTCACTTCTTGTTGTGGTTCTTGGTTAGGCAACTCCCACACTGGTTATTTTGCCAGAGAATCCACCCTTAATTTCCCGGGGCGCATAGGAATAGCATGAATAACCTTGATTCCGACGATTTATTGAACCCTTCTTCCATTGCTCTTTTATTGATATCCCCAGACTGGCTGAATCCATGTCCCACTCTTGCCTTCTTCGGTGTGCTAGTCAGCAGTGCACAGGTGGAAACCCGGCAGAGGTGCCGTGGAGGAAAAGGAGGGGCCTGGAATTCCCCTTGGACTGGAGAATAAATAGCCCAGAGCTGACTCAGAATTTGTGCCCCCGAGGTCAAAGGGTTGTTAAAATAAGATAGAAGTAAAGTAATCGGGTAGGAAAGTGGAGTCTGTACGTGGTGCACTGTTTTCTTCTCTTTTCGGATCACGGCTCTGCTCTGGAAAACATGGAGCCCACTGGGGCTCTGCGAGGGCAGACAGAAGACGCTCCTGATCCCTGTCCCAGTCCGCAGAGCAGAGCCAGCAGCGCTTCCTTAGCCGAAGTCGTGATGAAATCTGGTCTTCAGGCTGGGTGCTGGAGTGTAGGAGGTGCCCGCAGCCTCGCTGAGCCCCCTCTTTCTCGGGGGTTGTGCGTGGCAATTCAGAGACAGGGGCGGGCGCAGCTCCACTCCTGTCCTTCAGAGTAGGGTCCCTTGTCTCCCCAGGAAGCCCCTGTGTTTGGACATACCTTAAACTCAGCGGCTGGTCCCCACACACATTATCTAGGTTCTTGTGAAACGTCAAAGGGGCTCTCAATCTGTGAGATTTTAAAAACAAGGGGAGGATTTTTTGGGGGAGATTTTCAGCAAATGGAAGGACAAAAGAGAACCACCCACAAGATACAAGATGCCACTTTCCTGTGCAAGACTCACTTCGGGCTGGTTGCTCAGATGTGTACGGCACAGGGCGGGATGGTCAGCCACGCAGGCGCTGCGAGAACATTCAGCTCTGATCGGTCTGAATGGAACACTGGAGTCCAAGATATCAGAATGAGCCCCAGGCCCAGCTCAGGTCTACTTTACATACTTTCTTCAAAAAAAGTCATGTACACACCTAAAAAGAGCAATTAAATGCTTCCTAAGAAGGAATCTAATAAAACAGACTTAAAGGGGACACGGGCTGATAAGATCAGGCGGAAATGAAATATCACCAGCAGTCTCCTTGATGCCTTTTCAGGGAAGCTCATTTTTGGTGGTTTAGTCATTTGTCTGAAAGACACTCAGCCACACAGCTGCTGGGAAAGACATGTCCTTGCGTGTAGGTCTGTTTGCTCCTGGCTCCAGAGACAGATTATTCATGCATCTACCTGGAGAAGGAGGAGGCAAAGAGGAAAACCTGATGTTGCCATGAACTACAGTGATGAGGTTGGCACAGAGATAGTCCAGCTGGGAGACCCCAAATTAGATGAGACGTGGACAGGGAGAGAGGGCAGGCTCCCAGTAGCCGCAGGTCCCTCTATGGTACGGGTCTCAGAAGAACATGGAGTTCTTCTCTTAGTGGTGTCTGGGGTTGCTTGCCAAAAATCATGAAATAAATAAAATGGGAAACACAAGAATTTTCCTAGGATGGGTTGAGAATGGTGTATTTTTCCAAATACCAGGCTTTCTTCCTGTACTTAAAGCACATTTTGATGTATTTTCAGTGACATGGAGACTATGAGAAAGTCCTTGGGACACACTGGACACCTTTCTGCCCATCACAAAGTGGGGGGCGGGGGGGAACATCCCAGATTAATCTATTAACATGATCTCTGGTTAATGATCTCCAGGGAAGATGAACCCCTTTTGAGGGAGACAGTGTAGGTCAGTTTCTGTGGTGACACCAGTCACACGTGCATAGTGCCAGCCTGGGAAACCTGCATCTCCGACTCCTTCATCCTCAGGAAGACACGGAACTGCTCATCCACTTCGTTCTTCTCTCTTGTACCATGACTCACACCAGACTCTGAGCACCAATTTTCAGAACGCTAAAGTGACTCCCAGGCAGACTGCACTTAACATTTCGAGGATTTTTTTTCAACTCTTCAAATAAAAAGAGAACCAGAAAGTGTTGGGGCCTAATCAAAGAACATTTGAGGAAATGAGGTATAATAGACAATTTAATAAAGGAATGTTAGGCAGAGATCGCTGGGTTAGGTAAAACGCTGGTTAACATCCTTTAGGGCAATAAACCATAACTTGTGGGGTTGTCTTTTGTGCCAGACAGAGATTATTTGCACTCTGTTGGATAAAAATCTATAAATTTACATGTAACTCCATGAAGTCTGGGAATTTTAATCAATAGTAATTATTGAATGAAACAAAGTACATTTCTCTAGATAATTCTTAAATGAACCTTTGCCCCCATTTGACTTTGAAATAAGATACTGGCCACATATGCCTTATTTATAAGTTTTAGATAGTTTTTCTCAATAGTTCCTTGAGATTAGAGATAGTATTTTTCCATGTGGTATGTCCCACCCGCACCCCAGCACAGCACTGTGGTAGGCAGATAACATGCCCAATAGTGCTTATTGAATGAGAGGGAGCTTTTCCAGTTCCCAGCTGTCTTATTCATCATGCTTGTCCCTACTGCTTATGACCCATTCTTGTTTGTAGCTTTAGGATTTTCTTTTGTAAAAATACTTTGTGTAATAAGAATATTCTTATTTCTGTACCATCAGGTCAGCCCAAGCCAGAGGTAACTTGGTATAAAAACGGTCACACCGTAGAGGAGGGCAACATTGTTTCCAGTTACGAATTCTTCGAGAATCAGTATATTCATGTCTTACATCTCTACTGGTAAGTGGATGAGTCTCCAAGGACTGTTTACTAAGATCCCTGTATCCTTTCACGTAAGGCCCAATGATTGGCTCCTGTTGGCTTTCTGACTCCTAATGTTAGATGCTATTGGTAGGCATCAGCCGAGGCATCCAACAATGAGTCAACGAGGATCTGATCACACTCCCCTATTTGCTGCCATTGATGGAATTACAACTTTATCTAGAATTTTATTCAAGGTGGTCCAGCCATTTTCATTCATTATATTAGCTTTTCATTTAACCTTCTCTCTGGAAAGTTAAGAAGCACAACAGTATCTCAGCATTGTTATCGAGTCTTTCTTGTAAGAAGGGAAGGAAGAAGTGACTGACTATGACCCCACAGCAAATTGGTGATTGAGTTATTTTAGGAAGTAGCATGGCCCAGCACAGCGATTTCTAATTCCTTTTTGTTTCCCCACGAACGAGCTGGATGAAATCAGAAAGCTCTGCATGTGAAGTAGAACCACACAGGGGCAGGAATCCTTGGTGGTGGTGGTTTTTTTCGATCAGCATTGGTGAACTTGTTCTATAAGGGGCTAGATAGTAAATATTTTAGGCTTCAGAGGCCAGATGGCCTTTGTCACAACTACTTCACTCTGCCATTGTCGTGAAGAAGCAGCTATAGACAATATGGATTTTTGTTTGTTTTTTAACACATGGCTGTGTTCCAATAAAACTTTATTTATAGAAACAGGTGGGGGCCAGATTTGGCCTGTGGGCTGTAGTTTGTACTCCCTGGTCCAGATGGTAAGACCCTTGGGGATCTATACACTGTGCTTCTTTGTTTTTCACCCCTGCCTTTGTCCCTCTGAGCATTCAGTACATGTTTTCTGTTGGACTAATTTTGGTTTCACACTAAGATAAAAGAGTATACTCATTTTTTAGCCAGAAGAAAAGCTCTTACTGACAGAATGCCATTTAAGAATTAAGATTTGGCCCAGCCTGTGTGAATCGGTGGATTGAGTGTCAGCCCATGGACTGAGAGGTCCCAGTTTGATTCCTGGTCAGGGCACATGCCCGGGTTTCCGGCTCAATCACTAGTAGGGGGAGTGCAGGAGGCAGTCGATTGGTGTTTCTCTCTTACATCGATGTTTCTATTTCTCTTTTCCTATCTGTCTAAAAAAAAATCAATAAAAACGTATTTTAAAAAAAGAATTAAGATTTGCTAGTAATGTTCATCACTGTTTATACAGGACCAGAAAAGTAGGCAAAGAGATATTTGTAGGGCCTTAAGAGATTATGGGATGGAGGAATGAGAAGGCCATGATGAAGCCCTAGGGGCAAGGGGGCAGATTAAATGGGAGAGACATGGACAGGACGCCAGGAAGGGAAACTGAGGAAGGGAACTTGTGCTGGGGAAGGGGCAGGGAGTCCTCATTCTCCACTCTGGGTCCCACAGGGCAGTGGTTTACATAAAATTAAAGATTTGATGTAACAGAACACGCTCTCTTCAAGCTGTTGGCCTGCCATTTTGCAGAGTAGCCCATCGATGGGAAAGTATTCAGACCTGCTGCAGGGAACAATGGTAAAGCACGTGATGATAGGCTGCGGCTGCATTCTCCGCTTAGCAGTAAATATTCCGGATACTCGAGATCTTCGAAAGTTCTGACTTTTACACCAGTAGTTCTGATCTGTAGCTGCCCATTAGCATCGCCCGAGGCGCTTTTAAAACACACTAATGCTTGGCCTTCACCCTCAGCTAATTCATTCAAAGCCCCTGTGATCCCAGTGCGTTGCCAGAGATGAAAGATGCTTTTACATCTAAAACATTAACCTGCAAAGTAGTCCTGACTTCTACTGGCCTGTTAAATGCTGGTTAGGAGAACGAATGGTGTTTTGTGCAAATGCCTTTCAGAGATGAAGTTAGTTGTTAGTTAGTCTCACACTTTCTTGCCATTATCAATATACCATAAACCACCAGATTAGCTCATGGTTCCCCAAAGAAAAGTATTTTTCTATGTCTACCTGAATTTAGTCTTTGGGTCACTAAGTCTAAACATTTCAAAGCTCTGCCTGTCTTCCCCAAGGGCTTTTTCCGCTTTAACAACTAATCTGCAGTTCTGCCTGGGGGCCAGGAGCCCTGCTGTAATATGTGTGGACCTTCTCATCCTCCCTCCTCACATCCTTTCATCTGAAACTGTGTACTTGGGGCAATGAGATGGCTTGGAGGAGAGGGACCGGGGCCACTGTGACCTTCCGGTTCCCATAGGCACAGTGTGCTCTCGGGTGGGAGGAATGCAAGGCCAAGAAAACACGCCAAGGGAAGGAAACCTCAATAACAGTATGTTTTGCACTGTAGCGTGAACAAAAATTTCCCCCCAAAAGTTGTGGGTGTTGGGAGGAGGGGAGGAAAATGCAAGTATGTTTTCTACCTCCTAGTGAAAGCAGGCTGCAGGACTGTGTACAACGGGGAATTGTGGTCTCGATGAACACATTTCAAAGGAAGGCGCAAAGCAGCAGGTGGAGATCTGTCCAGGAACTGCTCCTACAGGGACACTCCTCGCCACAGCAGGGGGGCCTCTTCTCAGGGGCACTCAGTCAGCTGTTCCCAGGGGGGCAGGAGGGAGGGGGAAGCAGCCCCCTGGCTCTCCATCCGCTCGGCCCTGGCAGGGGCTGGGCTGGGCACAGGACCTGCAGTGGGCCTGGTGGGGACAAAGGTCAGGAGAAATGCCCGGTCCTGCAGTGGTCAGTCCCTGGCAGGGTACAGGGAGGGCTCCTGGAGGCTGAGCAGCCCGAAGCAGAGAGAAAAGATGGAGAGCAGGTGGGCTGTACCCCAGGGGCCCGATGTGCCAGAGTTAAGGAGTCTGCACCTTTCTCCTGAAAATGATGCCCAGTCTCTGAAGGAGTTTGGGGGCAGCAGAGGATTGTGGATGGGAAGGTTTGCCTTTTTCAGACCATCCCTCTGACTATAGTCTGAAAGCAGATTGGAGGGTGAGCCTGAACAAAGACGGTAGGAAGAGGGGTCAAGGTCAGCCTGAGAGATGTGAGGCAGTAGAAGACCTTCCGTTCTCCAGCCCCCCCCCCCCATTTCCAAACACATCTCCCTTCCCTCCTGCTCACGTGCTGTGTGGTGGTCAGCTGGCCCCTCTCACCAGCACCCGCCCAGGCCTGCATGCCTGCTCTATCCCCTTGCCCGGAACGTGCCCCCCCCCCTCCATTTTCCAACCCACCTGGAGCACAGGTGCACAGACCTCGGGCTTCGCGGACCAATCTCGAAAATGGTTGCTTTTTCCTGAGTACTCACTGATCGCTGCTATTACCACCTCAGAGGAACCTTCCCAAATCACCTTCTATAAAACAATTCGGCACTCATCTCATGTAATTTTTTAAAATTATATTTTTTATTTGGTTTTTGTCTGTCTCCTCAATAGACTGAAAGTTCCCTGAGGTGCTGTCGCCCTAGTACCCAGAGTGACTGGCACATAGCATGTGCTTAATAAATACTGGTTGCATTAAGTTAGTAACTTCTGCCTTGGCTGGTTTGGCTCAGTGGTTAGAGCATCGTCCCGCAGACCAGAGATCCGGGTTCGGTTCCTGCTAAGGGCATGTACCTCGATTGCAGTTTGTCCCCGGCCCTGGTTGGGGTTCTGTGAGTGGCAACCAGTCTATTTGTCTCTCTCTTCCTCCCTCTTTTTCTCCTGCTCTATCTGAAGATAAATGAAAAAAAAAGTCCTCGGTGAGGAAAAAGAAAAGTTAGTGACTTCTGCTTCGTTAATGTCCTTTCTTTGTCAACCCCTGCGGGCAGGACTGGGATTTCTCTTATTTGGTATCCCCACAGCCTCTTGTGTTTGGAAATGATAAAACTCTTCAGGTCCTTCCTCAAAGGCTACACTTTTATTTTCATGCTCTGCCACTTATTAGCTGTGTGGCCTTAAGCAAGTCAATTAACTTCTCTGTGCTTCAGTTTCTTCCTCAGTAAAACGAGTTTTTTGTGATTTAAATGAACTTATTCATGCAAAATGATTGGCAAAGTGTGCATGTTAGTCTGTGACAAACATTAGTTGTTATTGGTTAGTAGTTAGTATCATTTTACTGAAAGCATTTGTTCCCAGAATTACTCTGAAAGAATTCTGTCCCAGCTTCTAATACCAGTCGTACTTAGAGCCAGAATAATTTTACACAAACAGTGTTGAAAAGTGTCAGAATCAGTGGAAAACTTTCAAAGGCAAGAAGGAAATGAATATTCAGCAGGACAATTGTAACCCGGACACGAGTGTTGAAGCTGCTGAGTCATGTGTTTGTATCGGAAACCCTGTTTGGATGGTTTTGGAACTTGGAAGCTGTGACTTTCGTGAAGTCTTGGGCTTCTTAGTTATTCCTCACATCTGGGTGGACAAATGGATCCCACAGCCTGTCTTCCATTCCCAAAGCCGCTCCGGTTTGTAGTGGGCAGAGAGCCGTTCATAGAGCGTACTGTCTGAACCAAAGACTTTGGCCCCAGCTTCTTTTTATACGATCACCCAGCCGTCTAAAACACGTGACTTGGTGGTGATGAGTGAGGCTGGGCAAATGAATGTAGGTGAATCAGTTAAAAGTACCTCCATTCTTGTCCTGGCTAGTTTGGCTCAGCAGTTTGAGTGTCGGTTTGATTCTGATCAAGGGCACATACCTGGCTTGTGGTTCGTCCCTGGCCCTGGCCCTGGTCAGGGTCGTGGGTGAGGCAACCAGTCAATGTGTCCCTCTCACATTGATGTTTCTCTACCCGCCCCCCACTCTATCTGAAGATAAATGGAAAAATATTCTCAGGTGAGGATAAAGAAAAAACAACCTCCATTCTTGCTAAGGGTAGAACTGTCACCATCAAGTTCACTTATAAAGGACAGGAGATTATTTCCATGAGAGCAAGGCTCTGAGGCCAGGTTGTCTGGATTTAAACCCCAGATTTACCTCGTATGTGCTGTATCATCTTGGGCAAGTCACTTAACCTCTCTGTCTCAGTTTCCTTACCTGCAAAATGGGGATGAGGATAATACCTGCTTT